ATTAGCTTAATTGTATGAATGTTTCCTAGAGAGTAGGATCACCTAAGAGATTAAATTACGGATGAGAAAGTTGCTCAGTGAAAGTAGAACCAGAGTATACAGAGTTTTATCATTCTTGACGAATTAACCTTTTCTACTCTGGCAAGATTGCTATACAAAACAATGCTTTCCGAAGTTTTTCACATACAGTACTCCATCACATCCTACTTCACTCTGCCTTTTATGCTGTCCCAAGGGCCAAGGGGATTGATATCTCTACGATGCACTGTTCTTTTTGTGAGAACCCAAGAATGTCATTTCTGTCGGGCTTTGGAACGAGATATTGCTGGATATCTGTAGAGAAACTCATCTGTTTTCATTGGGTCGATACAGAGATAGTGTCTGATTCCATGTCCCTTTTTACCCTAGTTACTGGGAAGCTTAGAGTCAAATCTGGGGGTTATTTTTAAACAATCTTATGAGACCTATGGTATGTGCTGCATCTTAATCTTATTTCTATAATACTGTTTTCTTTTCTCCTCCAAATTTCACATTCATTAATTGTCACATTTTGTATAGTGTGTATATTTGCAAACTGCTACAGAATCACTTTAGGATTAGTTTGTGCACCTGTCTCTATTGCCAGCTAGCTAGCCAGGTAAACGGATGCATACAAACATAAGTGTCAAAGTACATTTATGTCTTTAATAACATCATGACATTTAAACTGAGTTGCCTTTGGGAAATTTTAAGTATAAATTATATTGTGGAAACATAAAAATCAATCAAAGTATGTATTTTCCTAGTTTGATTGTTTTGTCCACTACCTGACGTATTGTCTCATCAATCTCTTGCCCTTGGTTAGATTTCGTTTTGAGTCTGTAGTCGGTAGCTCTTTTCTGCTTCTCTTTCCTCTGGGGGTCTTCAAATTAAGCTATTTATGTGATTTAATTTACCTGTTATTAATGTAATACTTGAGAGTTTTTGGAAAAAAAATAGGTGAGTTCATTACCTAGGATATTTGTAAAAACATATTGTGTATTCCTGTTGTCTCATTGTAGAAAGTACGATGTAGCAGCAAATTTATGGCATTTGTATCTCAGGAATTTATCTTTGTCATTCACAGCTATGTGATCTTGGGCAAATCTTTTAATCTCTGATTCAGTTTCTTCATTTTTAATTTAGAGATGATTGTATTTGTGCCATTTGACCTCATTGGGTTGTTGTGAGAATAAATATAGTTTTGGTCCATGTGAAAATACTTTTAAGCTTTGTAAAATGGTATTTATGTTTTCTCTTAATTTTTTTTTGATTGTGGGAAAGTAATACATTTAGGTGATAAAAAGCCATTGTCCAGAGTATTTGCTGGGTAGGAGTATATAAGTGTTGTTTGATATTTTTTATGCTTTGAGGACAAATCACTTTTTTTCTACTGTATATTGCCATGTGACATCTTCCTCATATAATCTTATCAGTAGTTGGCTTATTTACAACTTTAAAGTCTATCCAGAAGATTCTAGAATATTCTTTTTGAAATTATTGTAATGTGTACATGGTGAAGGATGGCATTGCTTTTCTGAAGACATACAAATGACTGTATACAAAATTACTTTCTAGGAACTGTCTCTCAGAAGGGGTCATGCTTTTTCATAGAAAAGAGGCCAACTTCCTCTAGCTGAACCTTCGGAAATTTTATCTTATATAAAACAATCAAATATATAAATCTATAACTGGAGGGAAATTTAAAATGTCTTTTATTCATTTTAACATATGGGGGAACAGCGGCATGAGAAATGTAAGAGATTTTTTTTTCCATAGATACTCTTTCCAGAGTGAGAAAAGAAATGACAACAAACACTTGTATATCATTTACTATAAGCCAGGCACTAATCTAAATGCTTTACATATATTGACTCTTTTAACACTCAGAATATGGGAGGAAGCCAGTCTCTAAAATAAAATGACACCTTGATATGGTTTGGATCTGTGTCCCCACCCACATCTCACCTTGAATTGTAATAATCCCTATGTGTCAAGGGCAGGACCTCGTAGAGGTAATTGGATCATAGGACCAGTTTCCTCCATGTTGCTCTCGTGATAATGAGTGAGTCTCATGAGATCTCATGGTTTTATAAGTGTCTGGCATTTCCCCTGCTTGCACTCATTCTCTCTCTCATGGCGCCCTGTGAAGAAGTGCCTTCCGCCATGATTGTAAGTTTCCTGAGGTATCCCCAGCCATGCAGAACTATGAGTCAATTAAACCTCTTTTCTTTATAAATTACCCAGTCTTGGGTATTTCTTCATAGCAGCGTGAGAATGAACTAATACGCGTCCAGTGAGCCCCACCTCCTAATATTCATGCTCTTGTGTAATCCTCACACATTGAATAGGCATGACCCATGTAACCGGTAGGATAATGAAGAAATGATGTGTGACTTCTGATCTTTGGTCAGAAAAGCTATTGTGGCATCCACATTGTTTTCTTGGACTGCTTATTCTGGGGATAGTTAGCCCACCATATCTTGAGGATGCTCATGTAGCCTGTGGAGAGACCCACATGGGGAGGAACTGAGGTCTTCTGGGAAACTAGTACTATGTCAGTGAGCTGCCATGGAAATGGATCCTGCTGCCTCATCTCAGCCTTCAGATGACCCTAATCCTGCTGTCATTTTGACTGTGACATGAGAGACCCCAAGTCAGATTCCACGAGCTAAACCATTAGTGAGTTCTTGATCCAGAGAAACTACAGTATAATAAATGCGTGTTGTTCCTTTTTCAGCATTATTGACATGTAATTGACAAAATTACGTACATTCAAGGTGTACAACGTATTTTGATTTACATATACATTGTGAAATAATTACCACACCCAAGCTAATTTACCTGTTTACCTCGTATAGCTACCTTTTCCTTTTTTATATTACTTGTGGTGAGAATATTTAAGATCTACTCTCTTTACAGATATTAAGTGCACACTACATTATTATTAGCCATAGTTAGTGTGCTATATATTAGGTCTCCATAAATTCTTCATCTTATAATGAATGTTTGTGCAACCTTGACGAACATCCCCATTCTCCCTACCCTCTGCTCATTGGTAACTCCCCTTCTAATTTTTCCGTGGAGTTGGAATTTTTTTTTAGAGTCCACATATAAGTGAGATTATGCAGTATTTGTCTTTCTGTATCTAACATTTCACTTAGCATGACCTTCAGGTTCAGTATCTGGAGTAGGGTGTTAAATAAGAAGTAACAGTGGCTTTGGAACTGGGGATTAGGGAGATGTTGGAAATACGTTGTTAGTGAAAGATAAAATACCTCGAACAGATTTCTAGTAGAAGCCTTATGTTCTTTAAAGAGGCTGATGGCAAGGAATTAGAGAGTGAGGCAAATACTATTAGAAGCTGTTCTACAGTAATAGATAATAAAGGAGATATTTTACTCCTTGTAGGATTTAATATAGATGAATTAAGGTTATGGAATAGACTGAAGTATGCAACTATTTTTGTGTGGTTGTTGTTTAATCATTTAGCTATTTTTGAGCCTAATTACTTTTCGCTATGTTATTAGGAGAGGCACTTACTCATGTTTGACAATAAAATATCGACCTTTTGACAGATACCTCGTGTCTGAGGGTTGGTCATAATGGAATGGGGCTTAAGTGTCTCCTGCAAGTGATAGGGATAAGAAATACAGGGGAGAATGATTACTTGTGATGGAGCTTAGTAGCAATAATACATTTATAGGTTTAGATCTCTAAGGAAAATATTTGGCAAGCACTTTATGTATTTATGTGGCACCAAAAACCCACACAGAACATGGAGAAGCAATGGGTTCTTTTAGTTCCTAGCTGTGGAACCTTATGCCTCTGATTCTTGATTTGTAAAATAGAGTTATAGTTCCAGCCTCATAGACAGGATGAGGATGAAATTAGTTAATACATGGAAAACCCTTAGAACAGTTCCTGTCTCCTATTAAATACTGTGTAAGCGTTATCTATTCTTGTTACAAACAACAGAAGTTGTTATATACCCCTTCAGCTAACGCTTGGTTAGCATAATACCAGAGACATTTTATAATCAGCAGCAAAATGAAAAATAGGCTAATCCTCTCTTTGATTTTCATAACCACTGTCATGCATTAAAGTGTTTAATTCACACATTTTAAATTTGGCATAACCAAGTCAGTGTAATAAAAAAAAATGTAAACCTAACAACAACAACAACAACAAGCATTGATGGTGGGCGCTATGATTTACCATAAAATATTGTCTTGAAGTATTCATATGTAATTAGAGTAACTTACAATTTTTGAAAGTCTTAAAGCAATTCTCATAGAATTATTTTATGTTAGAATCATTTCCATTGATATTTAATTTCTTCAGTATTTATGAAATTTTGAATTATGATGGCTGTATACTTTATATTCACTTAAAAATTAAGTTATCTTTCCTATAAAGATAATTTAAAAATGGAGATATATGGAAAAGTTAAATTTTATTGATAAAAACATTGATATGTGTTCTTTACTTAAATATTGGTGTGCATTTGTTTTGTTCATTCACAATACTTTAAACCAAATAAAGTCGCATTTTATTCACGTACTGTGAATGGTTAACTCAGGAGCTCTGGAAAATTCATTGTGGTTTAGATTGAATTTGAAAAATTTACTGTTTTTTCTTATCTCTTTCTAATTCACGCTACCTTATGATATTATATGTATTTTCATAAGCCTTGATAGAATCAAGTTGAAAATCATTAGATAGATAGAAAACAGACACACAGATAGAAATGTAGGTTTTCATGGATTTGAGTTGTAAAAAATAATGAAGTATTTTGTTTTAAAATATCTAGATTTATAGGCTATATGAGGAAGACAAATTTTTTGGAGATTAAATTACATATATTTACCAACTTCCTGGTAAGATAGTTGAATCCAATACTATATTTGAAGGTCAAATCAATTTTTGTGTAATAATTTTATTCTATATTTTTTGAGATTAAAACTTGACAAGATATTCAGAGGTCACCATAACTGAAGCGTCTGAAGATGACTATGAATATGAAGAGGTAACATGTTAATTTTAGGTGTTTATTCTGTAAATTTTTTGCAGTCATTCTCATGAAGTGCTCATTTTATTTTCTGAAACAGGTAAGAACCATTTTTTTTTTTTTGTTAAGAGATACTAGTTTTTCAACTGAATTTAGCTTGTATCAGCTGATTAAGAATGAGATGTGAAAATTCTATTTAAACATTTAAATTGGATAATATATCTGATTTTTTTCATTTTCCTGTTAATTGTCCTTCAGGTTCAGCTCCTTATTGCCTGTAGATTCCTGCCATAAACTGTTATCTCTGTTCAGGAGGCACTTCCTTCCTGTCATCCAGTTTGCTCTTGTCAAGGATTCCTAGATTCCCACTGCCCAGTTGGAGCTCAGGCCTTATGCATCCCTTCAGCTTAACTGTACTTCTGTCTAATGTGGTTCCTATCTCAAAGCTTTCCTTTAATTCTTTGTTCCCGAGACCTATCATTACTTTGGACACTTGGAGGATAAAATCACTGGTAGATGACAGAGGCTGTGAATGAAACTGTGTGGAAATAAGCCTGGCGAGCCTGGGTGAGCAAGAGATGGAATGAAGATTGGAGACAGGCTTATAACTGGTGAAATGGAGATTATATGTACCACATGAAGTTCCTGGTTGAGTTAATAAATGTAAAGGGCCTAAACCAGTGATCAGTACATAAGAAGCTTGTGTTAAGTCTTAACTGTCATTAATATAATTACAATCCATCACATCCTTTCAAGATTTTAATGCTCAGTGAGTTTTATTTTTTAATAAACCAGAGATTTTCAGTTGCTAGTAGTTATGAAAAAGTGATGGCGGAGAGCACTTGGGATGGGGAGAGAATGGTGATATTTAGATAGCCTTATTATTTTTTCAGCAGAATTATTAGATTGTATTTTCTATTATAGATAAAAGCAGTTGCCCACAAACTAACCTTGAATTTATTAGAAGTGACACTTATTGACATTTACAAGGAAGTCAGAAGAAAGCAGTTATTCATTTTTCATGGATCTTCAGAATGACATGGTGTTTTACATAAAGTATTTCTTTGATCCTTTGATTTGTGAAGAAAAATTATTTCTAAAGTGAAATAAAGTATTTTATATTTCTGCTCACTTTTCCTATCCTTCTCTTCCTCTGTGAACTAGATACCAGATGATAATTTTAGCATCCCAGAAGGTGAAGAAGATCTGGCAAAAGCAATTCAGATGGCCCAAGAACAGGCTACAGATACTGAAATTTTGGTGAGAATTTGAACACTAGTGTAGTCTATAGTTTAGCAGTATGAAGTTTGGAAAGTTTTTTAAATGTAAATACTTACCAGTCCTATGTTGTATCGTTTTCATTTCTGTATATTTGTGATCAAGCCTTCACTTTAAGATAAGCAGTCATATTTACTCTTTTTTGGATTGCCATTCTCCACATCATGGTCACTCTTGCATGACTTTGTATCAAGTGACACCTTCTCTCCGAACTCTGATTAATCTCACTGGAGGATAAACCAAGAATTTTTAACATTTATGTTTAGAATTTAGTATCATATACAAGTTCTACAGTCTGTTTTGTAAACATTTTGTGTTTTTTTAAATGAAAGTATTAATCTTACAAGGAATACTTATATTATGACTTTTTCTTGTGAGGTTTATGAACTAATTATGTTAAAGAATGTGGTGGGGGATGTCTTTTGATTATAATACAATGAGCTAAAAGTGCGTAAAACTGATGGCATTCCTCTAAAATTGAAAACTCATTGAAATTTTGAACCATTTAATATGATGGCAAAAATATTTTTTTAATGTTTTATTTTGTACAACATTAAGAAGGATGCTTTCTTTCAGTGATTAACCCCTTTACTACTGAGAAATGTGAAGGAATTTGTGAAACTTCTTTTTGGTTGCAGATTTGCCTGCCTTAGTGTGGAATTGTATGTGAGACTTTACTGCAGATTATACCATGTCATTCTTTCCATATTCTGTAGACTTCTTCAATCTAGAAGTCCAATAACTCCTTTTCAAAATGTCTGTCCACTCAAAATTGGAATAAAAGCTCTAGAGGAAGATTTTTTCAGGCCAGAATTAATTGCATTCTGTTGTAAATGGAGGGCTACAGCTCACAGTAAATGACGTTCTCTAATGCATCCCATGGACATAGCTTCTTCTTGGTAGACACAAAGTGAAGTCTATTACATAGACTTATTAGTCTGTTGGATATCTCAAAGCAATAATTTGTAGGAATAGTTTTAAAATGTAGGAATAGCATTTTCAGTGACGTGCAGCTGATATGTTTATTCACTTCTCATCATCCTCTTGCTTCACATCACTAAGGATTTTGACAAATTCTTTATGTACCGCTCATTTGTATTGGTATTTGGTAAAGTACATATGGCTAATACAGAGCTTGGCACATAGTTGGCACTAAATAAATAGCAGTTAAATAAGAGAATGAATAAATGAATCATTGAATGAAAAAACTATGAACAAAACTGTAATTGCTTCTTTTGGCTGTCATGCTCGAAAGTGTTTATAGTGCAAAGATAAATCAGAGGGCAGTTGAGGAAGAAATCCATTGTAGTAGCTGTTGTATCTTCTGAGCCAAATATCAGTAATTCCTCTTTTATCAATTTATTGGAAGCTTTTCTTTATCATAACCTCACATGAGTTAACATTCTTGATTTCTGGCATGCCTATAGCTGATTGACTCTCATTTAGCTTCTTTTTACCTCACTTTAAAAAATTCTTTGGAGGAACAGTATTATGCTGAAAATTCACAGAAGTTGTCCTTAAGCTGTTAAAATTAAATATGGATTCATTTTGTCATAAGCATATTTATATTTTTTAATTTGCTTTTTATTTCTAAATATTTTAATCTTCAGCAATTTGAATTGTGCTATGGACTTTCTGTTTTAAAGAATACTTATTGCTTGTTTAAGCAGTTTTTTGTTCTGATCTTATATATATTCATAAACAAGATATATTTTCTTCTATGTTAAAGGATACAGTAATCTCTATGTACAGACCTCTTAAAATTTTCATTGAAGATTGCAAGTAAAAGATTATGATACTATTAGGAAAGTTAAGTTGAAATAATGTAAATTGTCTTATTTGTTAAAATATTAACAAAAATGACTTATTGAATAGTTGACATTTAAATAAGTTCTTATGATTTCCTTTTTTTTTTTTTTTTTTTTGAGATGGAGTCTCGCTCTGTCGCCCTGCTGGAGTAGTCCAGTGGTGCAGTCTTGGCTAACTGCAAGCTCCGCTTCCCGAGTAGCTGGGACTACAGGTGCCCACCACCACGCCCAGCTAAATTTTTTTTTTATTTTTGGTAGAGACGGGGTTTCACTGTGTTAGCCAGGATGGTCTCGATCTCCTGACCTTGTGATCTGCCTGCCTTCGCCTCCCAAAGTGCTGGGATTACGGGCGTGAGCCACCGCGCTGGGCCAAGTTCTTATGATTTCCTTTAAACATGGGTAGTATAGATTAAATATTTGAGAACTGATTGCATGGTTTGCTTTATAAATTTTAAATCATGTATTTGATACTATCCGTTTTCTTGGTAGGTTCAGTGATCTGAATTCTGAATTAAATGTATTTTCATTATATTTAAAGTTATTCTTGAAAAATATTGAGAAGATAGGAAATGTTATTAATCTGTAACAGTTGTGTAGTTTGGTTATACTATCAGTTGTTTCTTGAAATTGAAGCATTTTACAAGTATGAATACAAGTAAAGATAGGACTATGTATATGTTCCTCAGATTGTGTCTGTGTGTCTGTGTGTATTAGGGATATTTGTATGTAAATATATGAAAAGAAAGGTCCACTTACGTTTAAGCTGGGTCTCCCCTTCTAGACTCTGAGCCTTTTTATAAGTGTATTTTTGCCATTTTTTTTGATAATTCTTTAGCCTCTTTGGTTATTGATATTTTATTCTGTTAATTTTCAAGGTGCAGTCTCAGAGGTCCTTTATACTGCTATAATTCCGTAATGACTTCTAATTTTTATAAATGTAGAATTTTGATCTTTATGACAGTAGCAAGACACCCAAGTCGTATAATTGTTCAGTTCCCTGATGCTTTTCCTCCTCCTGCTGCCCCTTTTCCTCCTCTTCCTTCTCTTTTTCCTCCTCCTCCTTTTCTTCCTCTTCTTCCTCCTCTGAGAATTTAAGTAGAATTTATGAAATTTCTTTGGAATACTTAACTAGTTTTGGAGAAGACTAACTGATGACTAACCCAAGTGATAATGTTCTTTACCATATGTATCAATAGTTCTCAAAGTATGTGGGAGGTCTTTTGGGGTCCCCAGGACCCCTTTTAGGGAGTTTATGTTGTCTTTCATTTTCCAACTACTCACCTGCTGGAGGATTCTCTTCATATAGCTCAACTGAGACAACATATCACAACAGGTGAAATGCAGAAACAAATATGGGGATCTAGCTGTTCCTCTAGACATTAAAAAGATTTGTAAAAATTTGTAACAGTGCCACTCTTCTCATTAGTTCTTTTTCTGTTTTGGAAAATGTAGTTTTTATTTAAAAACTTCTGTCTATGTTATCTGTGTAGAAGTTTTGTTATAGTTAAAGTAAATAAATGAATATTTTAAAATTTAATATCTAATATGTAATTCTTGATAGGTATAACTCAGATAAATAAGTGCTGTCTGGAGTACTCAGTAATTTTTAATAGTATAAAAGTGTTGTGAGAACATAAAGTTTGAGACATTTTATAGATTTCTATTCTCAGAAATTTTCAAATATGTTAAGAATTAATATAAAATGTTTTCTTGCTATTATGTTAATATACCAAAATATAGTCTAGGATTAGTAAATTTGTATTCCTTTTATTTTGATCTTAATCTCACAAGGGATTAATATTAGGTTGGTGCAAAAGTAATTGCGGTTTTACCATTACTTTTAACGGAAAAAAAAAACACAATTACTTTTGCACCAACCTATACCATTATGTTAACTCTCACGTATCATAATGTTAATGGATTGAATTTTGAAACAATTTTCATTACTTTTATAGACTCAATTGCTAGGTCCCAAGAAAAAGAGCTGTTTGTCATTACTGAATTCGCATCCTCTTCATGTACAACTTAATTTTAGTTAGAGACCCAGGCTCCTTGTACTCAAAGCCAGGTCTGCAGATTATCCAAGCCAATATATTTGACTTAATGTGAATTAAGGAGTTGATGAAATGAAGCCCCAAATAAGGTAACATTTAAGTTTTAAGACCACTTGGATTTCATTGTTTATTTTTTTGGGTCTCACTGGTCAACTAAAGTTGTGAAAGGAACTCACATTAAAACAGTTCAAAATTTGTCAAGATACTTGATTTTAATATGTGGTTTAGCACTTCTTGCAATTCAACATTTAATTAGTTCTTAAGTCTGGAAAGTTTTATGTCCTCAACATCTTTCATATCCTTCTCTTTACCTTCATCCTCACTTAGTCTACCTTAAAGCTACCTTCTTTCTTCTCTCATCTGAACTACTGCATGCTGCTGGTACTATGCTTCCTTCTATTCCCACCTAAAAGATGTGTCTAATGCAAATTTCAATTTATCTCCCCTCTCCGTAAATTCACATAAAGACACATTGGGTGTCTACCCTTCTACCTACCTTTGCTTTCTTGATATGCTTCCTGTTTAGCTTTTCCATTTTATCTTTGGTCCTTTCTCCATAAGACCCTGAGCCTTAATGGATTGAATTGTCACCCTTGTTTTTGCCTCAGATGTTTTATTGCATTGAATATTGGTTTATCTTTCTTTATCTGTTGTATTTCCTCATTGTCTGTAAAGTTCAACCTAACAGTCTCCTTAACAAAGCCTTCATTCACCTATCTAAGGCAAGGGAAATACTCTTCTCCATTGTGTATCACGTCACCTAGCAGATTTCTATTGTTGCAATCATAACACACTATAGAAACCTCTCTGTTAGGAAATGTCAGCTTTAGAATGTTCATAGACAAAATGAAGCTATGTGCTAGAGCTACCATTATTTGTCCTCAACAGATTTTTGGGTCACATGTGACTAGAGTAATGTTTGATCATTCAGCAGTTTGCAAAGTGAGACCATGTTTTGCTAGTTTGTAGATTGCTTACTTTTTTGTGCTTATTTTGTGGTGTTTTGTTAACCTCGTAATTAAGTTAAAAGCCATAATGAGAGTTGTATATAATGTATAATAGGGATAAAAGTGCAACTTAAGTTTCTTACGCATACATAATGGTTGCATGTATGATATCT